AAAAAAAAAAAAACACCTTTCACATTATGCTGGGTTTTGCCTCTGCTCTGCAAGTCTACATCTCTTACAGCTTGAAATGACCATGTAAATGCACATTTTAAGAGAACTAAGACAGAGTCTGTAATGAATTAAATTATTTCATTTTACCAATAATGTTGTTTGGTAATGTTGTTTGTCTATTTTCAGCATAAGATCAGACAGCTGGATCTGTGTTCATTCGTTCAAGGTGAACATCAGGCTAGGGCATAGGGTACAAGGCTACATGTTACCTATACCGTAGGTTTGGTGTAGATTCAATGCAGAACCACAAATCAAGCTTAAGAAGTAATCCAAGGACCACTCTTGTGGGGCAGATTGCCCAAACAGACACCATTTTAATCCTCAAAGTCACCTTGGCTTTTCTAAATTGTATGTATTTGATTATTCACAACCAATACATAATATATTGAAATGTGTTCAAAAAAACATTTAAAAATAATGATTCCTACAGTGAAACTATATTATTGAATGCATGGTCAGAGACCATCTGAAATGCCTTCACAGACCACCAAGGGGCCATGGACCATTGGCTGAAAACCGCTGGTGTATAATAAGCCAAGTTTCCTTGAATTCATATTCTAAACTTTAAATGTAAAATGTACTCTACAGACAAAGGGCTCACCTTTCCACAGCCAGGAACTTCCACACCGTCGACAGGCCGGGGGATCTCGATGGAGCGGACGCTGCCATACTTGCAGCACTCCTCACGGATGTCTTCCAGGATCTCCTCGTAGTCCTCGTCATCCACCAGCTCTTCTGGCATCACCATGTTGAGAAGACACAGCACCTCCGTGGGCATACCAGAGTTCTGCAGCCTCTGTAGTCCCGGGACCTGCAGCGTTACTGGGGTTTCTATTACGGAGGTCTGTAGATAGAGGAAGGGTCAGGAGGTACACATCAGATAACGGTTTAGTTATTTATTTATTTTCCATTAAACCTGTTGCTTCCTTCCCCCCTTCCCTCTGTCTGTACTAAATCTTTGGCATTACTGCAGCGAATCAACACGTTGGGAAGTCATTTTTCTTTCACAACCACCTTTCACATCCACCAACTGCTACTGTGAGAACATTATCCAGATGCACACAGTGGTGCTCTGAGCTAAATGCTAACATCAGCAAGCTACAATGCTCACAATGACAATACTAGAGTGTTTATCGAGTATAGACCCCTATTTTAATAGCTCAAGTGCAACGACAAGTGCAAAGGTCCAGCAGCCCAAAGTGTAAAAGGGCTGGGTGAAGCGAATATAAACCACAGGATGTGGTGATTTTTAACACACTCCTTATCAGTCATATCACCAATCTTAGCACTCCAAAATCTGCACCAGTCACGGTAATGCGTGATAACAGCTCAACAAATGGAAAGCCATGTCTCCAAGAAATCATACTGCAGCTGGGATGGAGCAAAGTGGTACAACCTGAACGGAGTACCTCAAATCTGCAGCCAGACGCAGATGAGGTGGGGTTTTACTGAGTTCTAACCGATTTGTCTGATGTGTTCAGAGGTGTGTGTACTGAAAAATAAAAACTAGGCAATCCTGTTTTAAAGAAATACTTTTTTATTTTTCACTTCTTCTGATATGTTTGATGTTTGGATTTTGGTCAGAGTAAAGCTATCATTTTCATTGCTCACCTCAGGTAATTAATGTGTGCAATAGCACAGAAGAATGCAGCTAATTTTGCAAGGCTTTCCCCCAGTTCTTTCTGTGGATGCTGTGGATGTTGCGTTGTGAGATGAAGGTGGTTATTATCTGCACACACTTCATCTGCCTCAGTTTACAGTACACATGTTGCTGTCCACTCCATAGACCTTACTTTTAACAGACTTGGCACACAAGTGAACCAGATGCTGCCATTTAGCATGGAAACAGTTCAGTCAATTTCATTACCACAATGACAGACAAGATGCACAGTAATTCAGTGTGTTTATCTCTCCCTCTCCCTCTCTCTCTCTCTCATACACATACATAAAACCCTTGCAGCCATGTTAATGTTGTTATAAGAAGAAAGCGCTGTTTCAGTATTGGCAGTCTCAACAGACACAGACATGCAAAACTGGATCCCTGTAGTTATTTTTACCAGGCAACAGGAGTGAATTTTGTTGTGAAAGCAGGGAATAGGATGTTGAACCCTGTTGTGCATGCTGGTTCACTGTCACATTGTCACAGTTTACTGGGACGCTTCAGTGGAAAGGAATCCTTGTAAGTGTTAATAAAATCTACACTCTTCCTGCTACGACCTTCAAATAGGATAAAGGGTTAAGGAGTCCTACTCACAGGATTGGCATTTTTAGCTCCCACACTCGCCCTTTGGACTATCAGCTTTTTGTCACCCAGTTGCATTCCATTGAGCCCCGCTACAGCCTAATGTAGAATACACAGACAGCTCTAAGCAAGCGATAAAACAACACAGCTAATGATCTTAATAAGGAGGAATAATACTGTAACATGGTATACCTGATCTGTGACGCCGATATCTACATATTCACAAAAGGCATAACCTTTTGACAGTGACGTGGCACTGTCCTTCACAAGATTGAACGCTTTAAGAGGCCCGAATGATGTCAAGAGCTCCTTCACCTGCAAAAAAGAGTCAAACAGCAACATATAAGATGTAAGATATGGGACAAAACATAATGTGTTATTCTAAAGAGTGAATTCTAAATGTCCATTTGATAGTCAAAATCAAATCCTAATAAATGGACTGAAAATATATACTGTACTGTATTTAATATGATTAATGGAAACAAAATATATAGGAATACATATAATTTGTACATTTTCTAGATTCTGCATTGCTGTGTTGAGTTCTGAAAAGAAAGAGAAGAGACGGGGATGTATAAAATTGTGTATAAAACCTTTGAGGGTTTAGCGAGACATGAAACCTCAGCTACATCTGAGTATTCAGAATAATCTTCTAGGACTTCAGAGGAGAAAACTTCATCTGGAAAAAGGCTGCAATTACTTTCTTTATTGATTAATTTGCTCATTTGTTTTACTGATAATTTATTTTAAAAAAATCTATAAAATGAAATTCGAGAAAAATTCCCCTGACTGTTTCCTAAAATCCACGCTGATGTTTCCAGATTGCCTCTTTTGTCCAAACAGCCAAAAAAAAAACAGATACTCAGTTTACTATTATAAAAGAGTAAAGAATCAAGAAAAAGTCAAAATCAGTCAGTTTTAGGCATTTTTGCTTAAAAAGTGACTTAAAAGATTAATAAATTATCTAAAATGGCGCCAAATAATTTTTAGTCGATCAACTAATTGATTAATTGTTTCACTGGTAATCTCGAGTGCCATGGAGACACAGCCATACATGAGCAAATGATATAGAAAGGATAATAATAATAAGTTGATATATTCAATAATATATATATATATATTATAATATATATGAATATAAATAAAAAACCAATCTTATTTAACGTGGTTTAAAATTTTACTTTCACATTAGTCTTACCTTTACATTAAAAGCTGAATACAACCCCCTAAAAACCACCACCAGCAACAACATGCCCAAGTCTTAATGATCAGTCTTTAACCCAAAATCCCCGGGTCCTAAACGCGCTCCAAAAGCATGATGGGAGAAAGAAAGTAGCCAGTAAGGGAGCCTGCTGGCTCGGAGTGTATCCATGTGAGGACCAGAATGTCTTACTTGCCTTGTGTTACATGTTGGCATGGCAGCAGTAGATGAGTACTACTGAACAAATTATGAGCGCAGACTTAACGATCTTACAGCCCCTAGCTGGGGACAAAGTGGGGGAACAAAAATGAAAGAGCTGTGAGTATCAACGCAGTAGCAGTGACTGCAAGTAGCCAAAAAAAAAGTCAGTGAATAATACACATTAGGCTACATGTGCTCTATAAACTGGTTAGAGTAGTGAGACAGAATGGACAGTTAGAATTAAATTCACTGTGAAATTTAGATTATCTTCCTGTCTGAGAGCAAAGATGAAGCTCGACTGTCAAACTGTTAACTTGATACAGAAGACTCAAAACCATAACCTGTTTAGAAGAAAATATTTACTTTAAATTTTGATATTCTCAAAGAAAAAGTCCATCCTTACATTCCCCTATACATTTAATTATGATGAATTTCCAATGAGTTGTTTAGCGATTTTTGTTGCACCCCACAATCCCTAAACCTGCCCGACTGTACTGATTTATCAATGATGACCACCATGAAAGGGGCCTTGCCATTTTGTAAACAGTCAAAAGTAGGTGCAACTAATGATTACTTGTTCTGTATTGAATAACTGATCAACCATTTAGTCTATAAATATGCCACACACCAGCCGTCTTCAAATGGTTACCCTTTACTTCTAAATCCCTTTATTTAGCATTTATAGGCAGCATATAAACAGTAAATACTGCAAAAGGTTTTTAACAGACTACAATATAATGTAGTTTTATGTGGCTACAACAATATTTTAGTGTTTATTAATGTGCGGTATTTGTAAACAATTATAACTTCTCATACAAACTCATTTGTTATATGATTGCAGCTGTTTTTATTAGATTATGATTTGTTATCTGTTTAGCATCCAGTGCACTTTTGTGTGCAGAAAAGATGCTTTGTAGTTGATAACAAATGCATTAATAGACACTAACATCTACCTGTAACTACATTAAAGTGTGTTATAAGCCATCTATTAAATGTGTACAGTATATACTGCTTATAAATGCTAAACAGGGGTCTTAAATTCAGGTGTTCCGTTGTTTTCTCCTGGTTCTACTCCCAGTTTGGAGCTGAATATGACATATGTTATTGCACTTTTTGTAAAAACCATATATAAAAATGGACAAAATGACTGCCCCCCACCCAAGTATATTGCATATGCTGTCCATCTTTATATACAGTCTATGGTTAAATGTTAACAACATACAACGATAATAAAAGAGTATAAAAGCAACAAATCCTCAAACCTGACAAGCTGGATCCAGAGAATATTTGACATTTTGACAGAAATGCTTGAGCTCTGTACATCAGAGGCTAGCAGCTATATCATTATCAGTTTCTGCTAATACACTGTGCTGCTGCTCTACTTAAGATATATAAATACGACAGCACCTGTAGTGCTACCATTTTTAGTAGAAGGTTTATTAAGGTGAACTTTTTCTTTGAAAATATGAACTCACATTCATGGGAACCAATATTTACACCTAAAGACCACAGAGAATTACAGGTAGGCTTATCAGCCTTTTATGTAAATATACTGGGCTTTGCTTACCTTTCTTAAATCAGTATGCTTAACATGAGAAAGGCATGAGCAGTTTTCTTAGAAGTCATAAAAGTCTTCTCATAATATATAGATTTAGCAAAATAAGAGCATGTGACAGTTTGAAAAAGCCACTTATCTGTATATGTTGTCCATTGTGAATACTATAAAATATCAGATACACATTCACAAATGCAAGTCATAAAATATTAATCTATTTAGGTTTTCCCTATACTGTGTTTTTGTTAACATTAATTGTTAGTTTTTGCATTATACTATGGGAAAATCTCCTGTTTCTAGCTAGGATACACATTCACTTCAGCTATTTTGACTCATGTCGAAAAAACAAATATTTCAGTGCGACAAAACCTCAGTAAGTGAGAGAAAAATGAGGAAACATGAATGCACCTGTTTGACTCGGTTTTCAGTAAAATACCTGGTCATCATTAAGGTAGTTAGGCAGGCCTCCTATAAACAGTTTATGGGGGGAATCAGGAACGACGGTGGAGACGACACCTACGTGGGAAAAAAGGTAACATTTCCAATAAAATAATTATATATCATACTGTATGATACATGTTGTTTTAGGTTGAAAAATATTAGTAACAAACCTGGGACATGGAAAGCAGGCTGCTCCGAGATACCGGGTAAAGGTCGATAGTCATGTGGTCTTCTGATCTTCAGTGACTGACCCTGGAAAATGATTCCATCGAAGGCCATGGCCTGTGTCGTCTCATCTACAGATCGAAACTAAAAATGAAAAGCTGCTTTGAGACTTCTGTTACAAGATTTCATCACAGTAACATGACGCAACGTTATGATACAGTGTGAAAGAGGCAATAAGGAGGAGAACAACTCTGCAGCATCAACAGGTCTCTGGCAAATTTTACAGTGGTATGTTAATGTTGGAAATAAAACTCTTTCATATTAGAAATTAATCTTCTTTGTCTGTGTGTGTGTATTTATGTGTGTATGCAGGCTGGCTGATTTCCATCTATATGTAAAGCACTTGGTAATATCTAGTTTTGATACAGTAAGTACTAAATGAATAAACTTTATTATTATAATTATTATATTTGGATGATAACAGATCAAACACAAATGCTGAAATAGTCACTCTGGATGTCTTCCTATTGCTCCTGTTGCTTTGTCACACACAATACTTGTTAGTACGATATGTTAATTTTTAGTTTTGGTCTTTTCCTGGGATTTTTGAGAATAATCAAAACATAGAAAATCGGGAGCCTTGTCCTGTAAGTCACTTATGACGTGGGATCTTTAAACTGAGGATGTTTTGGAATTATCAGAAATATAACCAAGATACCTCTAGGAAAGCGAAGTTCTTATCCTGATTAATCTGCACAGCGAGTACAGGGTTACTTGGAGCTTGTGAAAGACCTGCAAGCCGCATCTGAGCATTAAAGAACTCGGCCATGGACTCCTGAGGAGAAAGAAAACACAAAGAGCATGACTGCAAACACTGCAATATGACATCTTGGCACTGGGTAACAGTATAACAGGTATCAGAATAAACAGGAAGTCAAAGAAAGGAGTATCTACAGATTTTACCTCAGTGACTCCAAATGGAATATTTCCAACATAGAGGCGTCTTGCTTGTCTTGTCATCTGACTGCCAACAATGGGCACTTGTGTCGGTGCTGCAGCTACTCCAGCGGTGGTGGTTGTTGCCAGCAGAGCTATAGTCGGTATCTGCCCGGCCGCTGAGGTAAAATAAAAAGAAAGAGCCCTTTACTTTCATCAGCAGGACTTCTGCAACCTTTATTTTATCGGGGTTAATTGTTGTGACTCAATTCCGGATGATTCACTGAAATGAGCATTAATTTAACCTCTGGAATTCCTAAAAAATTACATTACAGTTTTTAGGCAGTGTGAGTAAAACCTGTTGGTGCAATGTAAGAATCATGTTGATGGGACATTCTCATCCTCAATAATGTTAAATTACTCTTAAGCGATTTTGTCATTTCTATTTTTATTATTTTTCTCACTTATGTTTGGGAGATAATTATGCAACAAGTGGTGGAACTACAGTTGACAGCATAATTTGGGGGCGTTGGGTCCTGTAACAAGGAAGTATTTTGTTGCCGTGGACAGGGGTGGATCTAGAATATTTTGGACGCGGTGGCCAGGTTGGGGCAGAGACTCAGAGGGGGGTGGCACATTTGAAATACATGTATAAAATAAATTGAACCCCTAGTTCTATGAGATAATAAAACATATACTGTATTATTAGGAATCCAATTGTTTATTTTTTGTAAAAATGAGGCACACAGTTCTTTCTTTTGGCTAATTTTGGTTGCACTCCTTATTTACTTCTGGCTGCTGCACATCCACTAAGGTGAATCATGCCAAGTACTCCACAACAACACAACTGGAGAAATGAATGCAAATATCATGATGCATGAATGATATAAAATTTGACCAATTTTAATTTGAAATATTTTGACCAAAATCAATTATAAAGCATCAGAAAAATGTTAGTCATTGTTTTTCATTTTTTGTTCATTAATATTGGCAAGCATCACGTTTTGGCTCTGTCAGGGGTGGCCAATCAGATTCTGGGGGTGGGCAGGGCCACCCCTCACCTGGACCCGCCCATGGCCATGGAATTTGTGAGTTACTCTATTAGGTGCCGGTTTGCAACAGACTCACTCTGAGACTAATCAAGCAAGGAGAACATGACAAGTACCTTGCATAGCCTTATACTGCATTGGTGTGATGTGTTCAAAGCCAGGTGGAGGCACATCCCAGTATTTGCAGGTCCTTTTTTTCCTTGTCCGCCTCGGAGAGTGGCTAGAAGCAGAGAATAGGCAAAATAAAAGCTCAAGCATGACAAGAAAAACTCAAACAATTAAACTTAAGATGAGTTTCCAGTTTATTAGTATTTTATTACAGAATAGTATTAGTACTATATTGTGTTATATTGAGAGGTGATTCTGTTATTTATCATACCCTTGTTATATAAACAGGGCGGTCGAAGTAACAAAAAGACCTGTCTGCTGGTATGAAGCAATACATTCAACCACAAGCTACATCCTCCAAACTGATCACCCATCAACAGCTCTCCCACACAATGTCAACACAAAGTGAACACTTCACCTTTATGAAAGGAGAATTTATTGCAGGACAGTTTAAGCTACTGTAGGAATGCCTATATAGTAATACATTCAAATCGTGCTGGTAGCTGTATCCGGCACCCACTGACCTGTGCTTCTTGTGGTCCCGGGAGGAGCTCCTGCGGTCCCGGCTCTTCCTGTCTCTGCTGCGGCTTCGCTTCTCTCGGCTACGGCTCCCTCTGTCTTTGCTCCAACTGCGATGTTTGTCACCTCGGCCCAGAGATCCACTGCGACTTCTCTTTTTGTGTCTCTCTCTTTCTCGCTCTGGTTAAATGTTGCAGAATAAATTTTAACAACAGATCAACAAAAATTTTGCAGCAACTACAGTATTTTTATTTTAAGTTGCACCTCACTGTGCAGAGAATTATTATTCACTATTGATTAAAACCACTGCATCATATTTCTTTGAAAAATCTGACAGGTTAATATGGCCTTTCTTCTTGGCAAAAAAGAATGTGAGGAAGAACATGACTTAAGACCTTTTAACAAATCAATAAAAGCTACTCTTTATTTCAGTATAGATCTGATCCACCCATTAAATCAAGCCCCGTTTTGATTTAATGTCAAGTTTTAGATGTGGCATGTTTGGGTGAAAGGTTCTTCTTCTCCTTAATAGTCTTTTTCTATTTTTGGGGTCTGGGAACCTTCTATGTGCTGTATCTTACTTCAAACTTCACTGCTCTCTCTCACTGTACTTGATTTTTTTGTTTTCTTTACCAACCCTGACAATTATCTCATCACATTATTTGCCCTTGAAAAATAGGGGAAAATGACCCCTAGAATTTTCTAAAGTCCAGTGTGACATCTTCAAATGTATGCTGCTGTATCTAACAATCCAAAAACCAAAGATATTCAGTTATTTTAATAACATAAAATAACAGAAACCAGTATATGCTCATACTGGAGAAGCTGGGAATGTTTCGCATTTTTGCTTTTGCTAAAACTGCTAATTATGGATCATAAAAGTATCTGTTGCTTAACTGGTTACAGTGAAAGAAACCAGTTTTAAAGCTCATATGAGCACATGACTGATTTAAGACAGGCTTAAAAATGTGAACCAACCCTTTAACTGTTGCAACACATTATTAATAAGATTAATACAGAATCTTACCACTGATTCGTGTTTACTCTCTACGGAAGAGTATTAGGGCCACTGCATAAATTTTTTTTAAAATTCTGACTTTATTCTCAGAATTCTGACTTTAATCTCTGAATTTTGACTTTATTCTGAGAATTCTGACTTTATTCTCGGAATTCTGACTTTAAACTCAGAATTTTGACTTTATTCTGAGAATTCTGACTTTATTCTCAGAATTCTGACTTTAAACTCATGGACTTTAAAGTCAGAATTCTGAGATTAAAGTCAGAATTCTGAGTTTAAAGTCAGAATTCTGAGAATAAAGTCAGAATTAAAAAAAAAAATTGATGCAGTGGCCCTAATACTCTGCCGTACTGCACAGTTTGTGTCCACAGCAGTTTTAAATGCACAACCCTTATCTTTGGTTTGTGGTCCTGCTGCAGCCAGGTTGACTGCTGCAGGAGCCCTTTAGCCTACTCATCTGGCTTCAGTTGCGTGAGCCCCAAATGCCATAAAAACAACTAAACAAACATAAAAACACATGCTGAATGTATCCATTGCTCTCTGTGATGCTCATTTATCAGACTTATCCCCCCTAAATGGCAAATAAATCACAGCAGAGAGGAAATGAAAACCAACTGCTCTGGAGAGGTGGACAGGGAGAAAAAGCTTAGTTTTCTGTTACCATCTCATTCATGAAAGAAAATCTGTTGAATCCCATGGTCACTCTCTATGGGTGTTCACTAGTATGGCAACACTAGAGGCTCCAACACCAAGTTTTTAGCCTAAATCTGTCTCCTTGTGCTACATTCTCAGTATCAGTCAGCTGGGGTGTTAAGAGGCAGAAATCAGAAAACCAAACAAGGCTCACATCAATAACTGACATTAATAATGAGCACTACATGGCCGACAACATCTTCATCATAGCTTAGATTTTTACAGCACTCCTAAAAAGTGAAACAAAGTTTCACAGTGCTTCAGTCATGAGAAACCACGGAGCAGATGACATGACAGTTAAGTACAAACGTACATAAGTGCACTTAAAATTAGAAACCTATCCTTCCATAATGGATGCTGAATTAAAAAGTAGATAACAATAATTCAGAAAATGTCATAACAAGTCATTTTTAACCATGTGTATCTTTGCAGGAGAAGAAGAGATTATAATAAATGCAAGGTGTGAAGGAAGTTTCGCTTCTCGGTGTTTCGCGCAGGAAAATGCCAGTTAATTCCGTGTCCTCCTGCCGGTCTTGTGTCGAAATCTGTTCCCCCGTTAAAACTGTTTATAGTAGCGCCCCCCTGTGTGGTTATGATTGGGATAAGGGTAGGGTTCAGGTTAGGGGAAACACATCTCGACACAACACCCAGACTCCCCCCTCAGCATTCGGCTCTACGGTGGATATAGGTTGAGATTAAGCTAAACGCTAATTAATTTAACACTAAAATGGCAAACAGGCTGGGTCATAGCGCAGAAAAGTGCTTGTTAAAGTTGCTGTCAGGTCGGGGTTTTTCCTTCATAAAATAATGTAGGGAGCTAGTGTTACGCAAAAGCCTTGCTCTGCTAGCTTACAGACCAAACCTGGGGCACAGGACCGCTAATACTCACCTTGTCGATTTTCGCTCAGTTGTTTCTCAAATTCTTCGAAATCCGACATTATATAGTACAGGTTTTTTTTTTTGGTCGTATAAAAATACTGCAGGTGTGAAGAGAGAACGGTAACCCAATCAGCCCGCTGGGTGCAGCAAGAAACCACTGAAACCAGTCCGGTGTCAAGACAGACACAATAATACACAACTTCCGGCTGAACCTTTACAATTATAGCGCTGCTGTAACACATTTATGTTTTAGACTTGGAGCTTTAGGGTTCAGACCCCTGAGTCATATTGGTGATATCAGGTTGACTTGACGTGACTTGACTTCTCTTGTCTGAACAAGACTCAAAAATTCAAAGATTTTGATTTGACTTTCATAATAAAGTCGGTAAAGTAAAAAAAAAAAAAAAGATATTATACTTCGAGGCTGGTACAAGTGATTTTTTTTTGCCACATTCATTTAAGAAAAACTTGATTCATCAATTATTAACTTTGTCAAATAGGTTTCTGTCTTCTGACTAATCAGTTAATAAGTGGGCCCCTCAGGAGGTTAATCTAGCCATGGAGCACCTCTACACATATTTAATTAGTGAGACTTTGGGGGAAAATTTAATCATAAGTATAGAAACGGGGGGCAAGATATGTGCTTTTTTTTCTAATTCTGTTCAATACAAACAGTAGAACATTTCCAAATGCATGACTCTGGTAAAGCTTGTTTCGATTCATAAATCTGATCATGTGCTATTGCTGTGTATAATTATTCTTTAGTATGGAGACACTTCTCTTACTCAGCATGTCTCTCTCCTCTCCACCTGTCATTCCAAACACAATGTTGACAACATACATGGAAAATAACTCACTCATCTGTGCTGCTATAAAAAGACCTCAAATCCCAAAGTATCCCTGTGGCAGACCAGCCTGCTGTCATGTTGGAGGAGTTGTGTGAATGAGCTGCTGAGGCGAGCAGCTACAGCTCCTCAGGAGGGGAATTAAACCACAGTCCAGAACTGCTGCAGAGGCCTGAGAAGCAGTAAGTGTTGACTGCTACTTCATTTTTTGCAATATGGAGTTCTGATGGCTCAGTCAGTTATAGATGAAGTTTAATGTGAGAATCACTTATGCAAAGATACTGTGCAATCAGTTGGTGAATTATGAGTGAAGCTTTGCTGTAAGATTTTATTTTATTTTAGAAAGCTGCAGAATAGGATAAAACATGCTCTGTTATTTCATTTGTGTTTATGCATCTCTTGACTTTGTTGTGAAATAATGCATCCAGTACTGTGTGACACTGAGTCTTTGTGAGAAATACAGTATCTACTTCTGGGGCAGTTTATTTTTAGAAGTCCCTTCTTGGACAAACAGCTGGTGCTTGGCCTGGTAAACCCAAACTGAAAGGTTATCTTCAAAGTCCCACTTGGACACAACTAGGACATGCAAGTGTTTGTCTTTGATGATTTGATAAGTGGTTCCTAATAAATAATCCTTAATGTGAAGGAAAAGCAGTCTCTCCAAATTTATTATGAACTAATAAAACCCAGTCAGTTTTACCTTATGTAGCACTGCAGCTCCAAATATAAATTACCACTGTAAGTAAACACAAATCCTACTGAGACATTAATGATGTGGTATTTATCCCTAGTCTTTGTTTTGCTATATGGTTACAAATGTCAATTTTCTTTTTCTTCCAGAACGATCAGGACATAATTAGATTTTAAATTGATTGTTGTTGAGATGGACTCAAATATAACAGAGCCAGCAAGCTTTTGGGTATGAAATCCTCCTTTATTTTGTAAAACATGTGTGCTAGATCCTAAATGGTTTTTTACATCCCATCCCATCCCATCCCATCCCATCCCATCTCTCCAGCATCATAAAAAAGTAATTTTCATCTAAAAAGTTTATTTACATACCTGCTTTAACAACACAAAAACAATTAGCTAACCATGGCCTTCTTGAGAATATCAACATTGGTGATGTATGCAGTTTTTTTCCTTTTAATTATAAAAAAAGAATAGTTTTGACTTGTCCACAGTTAGATTAGAAGCTTGACACTACTATTTTGTCTGTACAGTAAATATGAAGCAACGACCAGTAGCCAGTTATCTTAGCTTAGCATAAATACTGAGGACAAACACGGGAAACAACGAGCTTGGTTGTGTCCAGACGTAACAAAATGCTACCAGTATCTCTAAATGACATCAATTAACAGGTTATATCTTATGTGTTTAATAAAACCCCAACAGCCAACATCTAGTCCAACACATAATTCCCCCATAAAATAGCAATTAGTCATTTGTACATTTTTTACTTTTGCACAAATGATGCTTAACATATTAATTAGTGAGCCAGAGGTACTGGTTCTGTTTGTTATCTTTAGACAAAGCCAGGCTAACTGTTTCCCCCTGTTTGCATGCTAAGCTATGCTAATGCTACTGGCCCTGAAAGTAGATAAATTTCTTCTCATCCAACTCTCTGCCAGAACAGAAATAAGTGTATTTTCCCTGAAATGTCAAAATTTTTCTTTCAATATTTTCTGCAAGCATTTTCAACAAACAAACAAATGAATATTTTCAGGATATCCTCCATGAGATGGATCCAGAATGGATTACCACTGTTCTTCTGGTGCCCTGTGTTGTTGTACTGACAGCTGGATTTTTCTACCTTTATGGTATAGTAGTTGGTCTGTTGTCCAAAACTTCGGTACACAATAAGGTGGTGGTTATAACCGATGCCTTATCTGGGCTTGGAAAAGGTAACAAAAACTTATTGTTGTTTAAGGTAAAAAATCATTATTAGTTAAAAAAAAATCAAGACTTCGTTAAATTCTGATTGATTCCATCATTGTTATGTGTCTTTTTTTTTCAACTTGTTTTGGATTCACGGATGAAGAATGTGCAGGCTTGTTTCACAAAGGAGGAGCAAGGTTGATCCTTTGTGGGAGAAGCTATGAGAAACTTGAAGAACTTGCTGATGATTTGGCAAATGCTTCAGACCCTACTGTGGTACGTATTCAAGCACTGAAACAGTATTACTGACAATCATGACTGATGGGTTCATGGAGCCAGGGACTGAAGGTAGGGCTAGTCCATACTGGTTTAACAGACTTCCAGTGGTGGAAAGCATTTCCACCATTTACAAAAACACTGTCTAGTTGTCATGTTTTGATGGCTGTAAGGTGTTAGCAAAGAGAAATTTGTCCCCTAAATGTCTCATTCACCATAAATAAAAACAAACAAACAAACAAAAACCTCAGCAACAACAAACACCCCAAATATGAACCACTTCATAAACAATTTTGTGTATCACAACTTTGTTTCTTTCCTCTCTATTTACGGCCTCAAATTTATCTGCTGGTCCTTATCTGGTGACCTCTAGGTTGGGAACCATAAGATTAAACTAGCTCCACTTGGCTCCAGCTGCAACAGTAAAATGCTGTTGAGGCACTGATGTATAATTATCTAGTAATGTAATATATAATATCAGTCACAGGGGTTTTATTTTAACTCTAGAATGAGTATTTTTGATACATCTTTTTAATTTTAAATGCTTTTACTTAAATTGGATTATGAATGAAGAACTGTTACTTGTATGGGTGTATTTTTTCCATTGTTTTATCAGCACTTCCATGTACAGGCCTATGTAAAAGACCTGTATACTCCATCACTGTAAACAATCCTATATTAATGACAAAATGCCACATTCATGGTAATGCATGATATATTATAATGTTCCAGAAACTGCTATAAAATAACACAGACAGTGACCATTGACTGCACTTTATTTGCTGGTAATACTTTAGCAGAATGTAAGAAGTTGTAGTACTGTAAAAGTACTCTGTTAGAAGAATTCAAAAGTTTACCGAAGTCAGCAAAAGTACTTAAAATATCAAAAGTAAATACTTATTGAGCAGATTGACCCATTTCAGAGGTTTTTATTAAAATAGATAGATAAAATAGATATATTATTGGAAAACATTAATGATACATTAGCACAAACATTTTACTGTCATGTTATTTCATAAGATGTTCATGTGTATAATGTGTAAAATCTTCCAAAAAATTTCAAAGGACGTTATACCAGTTATCAGATAATGTAGAGTACAACGTACAATGTTTCCATTTGAAATGTTGTCAGAAGCACAAAGTGGCATTAAATCGAATTACCACAATACATAAATAGAATTTGGTACTTTCCACCACTGTAGATGTACTTACCATCACTGTTTCTCCTCCTTAGACGTTTTCCCCTAAACTTGTGCAGCTGGATTTTGGAGATATGGACAGCATGCCTGAGGCAATCACAGAGATCCTGGATTGTTATGGCTGTTTGGATATTCTCATCTTTAACAGCAGCATGAAGGTCAAAGCGCCTGCACAGAGTCTGTCTCTGGAAATGGACAAGTTACTGATGGACAACAATTACTTTGGACCGGCCACACTGGCTAAAGGTAGAATATAGAATTAAATTTTGGTGTGAGAAGGTATGATAATGTCACATTTCTTCTGTTGCCTTTCTGTTTCAGGTGTGCTGCCCTTCATGATCTCGAGGAGAACTGGTCACCTGCTCCTGGTCAACAGCATCCAAGGGAAACTCACTGTGCCTTTTCGCACTGCATGTGAGTTCTAAGTTCTTCTGTACATAAATCACTTACTAATATACTGCACATTTTCTAATGAAGTGTGATGCTTACATGGTATAATTCCTTTGGTCTGGTAGGTATTACTGCTGGTGGACCACAGTTTTAGCAGCATTCCTCTAGGAATGGCAGCGTTGGTTGATCCACCACTCTGGTCCGGACTGAAATAACTCAACAGTTATTGGATAGTTTGCCAACATTTTGGTGATATTTCATTTAGCAGCATCGACAAGATTAAAGTTTTCACTTTATGAACATCTACCTGATGAACTGCCATAAAACTACAGGCACTCATGGTTACCAGAGTCCTGCTGACAGTGGCAACAACCCCTCCAACCTATACAACCCACAGTATATGGTCATTTGTCATTTCCCTCTCGTACAACCCATAGCTGCATCACCTGAAATAGCTCTGGTGCTGGCAGGCAGAATTGCCAAAAACTTTACTAACATTAAAAACAAAATATGTCACACTGGCAAGATTTACAGCCTTTCATCCTTATGGAAACAGCCATAAACAAGCGGGTTACGACAGCAAGCGGACTGGAAATGCATTATCATGGAAAGTGTCAAACATGCTATTATGATTATGAATCATCAGTTTCATTATGTTTAGGCACCTAAACTATGTGTTTAGGTTTAGGAACTACTTGATTAGGTGAAAAAGACACCACAGAGTGGAAGTGAACACTGTGTTTTAAGAACCAAGCATACGGCCCAACCTCCTCCCAACACAGACTTTGTGGGTCTATGTCTGTTAATGTTGACCTTTGCTCCAGTCATAATTACTGTTGGTTGTAATAACCATCTAGCACAAGATTGAGACAGAAAATGTAGTAATACAAACACACAATACATTAAAAAGTAGAACATCGTATAATAAATTAAAAAGGAAAACAATAACTCTAGACCAAAAAACCCCCCACCCATAAACACATTAAGGGTTCATATAAGCTAACAATGTTTTCAGTTATGATCGTGTGTGATGCTTCAAAATTAGTTTATGGTAGAGATGGGGTATAGATACAGTGTTGCAGAAGACACTGTCAGATCTGAAATGTGTAACCTGGCTGCAGTGGGGACGTTGACATGTCGCGCGTTACTGGTTTTCCAGATGCGGCCTCTAAACATGCAGTTCAGGCATTCTTTGACTGCCTGAGAGCTGAAGTGGAAGAGTACGGTATCTGCGTCAGCACCATAAACCACACCTTCATCAGCTGCTCTGCATCTGAAAACACAGCCTCTTCCAGATCCATCTGGTCATGTGAGTAAAATCTGAAGGAACAAACATATTAGAAGCAACATGTAGTATCTTTACAACTAGTGATTAGACTGCCATGAAAATGCCAATACTTTAGCTTCCCTAGACAAATTATTTTGATTGATTTTGCCCTGTGGTCTGGCAACATCATAAGGACTAATTTTCCCCTTCACTAACATGTCGTCTTTGACAAGATTGGATTCCCATTGTGTGGATCTTGTTGTGGCCCCTGGAGGATAAATTATTGATGGCCACATTACTTTTTTAGAAACTCACAAGGGCAGAATTTCCACTGGGTCAACATGTTTTCAAGTATGTCCCATGCAGGCTATATTATCAGCTGCACAAAGCAGGGAAAGGTTTATAAGGCCCTCGCTGTTTGCTAGTTAGTTTCTTTAATTAGGTGTATCACTTACCTTATTGAGTCTGTCTGTCCTCACCCCTCTTTCTGCTCTTGTAGTGTTGTGCACAAAGAAACCCCTTGGTGTTTCTCCAGATGAAGGAGCCACTGAGATCTTCAAGACTTTAAACAGCAAGAGGAAAGAGGTGGTGATTGCTCCCTCGCTCCCCAAAGTGGCCATCTACACCAGATCCTTCTGCCCAAATGTGTTCTTCGCTGTGATGGCTGCAGGAGTGAAGAATGCCGCTGCCTCTGAGAGGATGTAACCCTGCTGTCAGCACCAAGGCTACAGTCAGCCTTAGTGACTGGGGGTGAGATTTTCTGGTGCAGGTGAAACAAATCAGTGAAATGCTGAGAAGTGAGGATGGATGGAACCGATAGTAAACAAACAATCACTTGTTTACAAATGCAGGGATTCTAGAAATATTGTTTATCATTTGTTGTTTGAGTGGATTTACATTTGATTCAGTTTTTCCATTAAATCTCATAAACTATTTATAAGATGTGAACCCCTAAACTATTTGAGTGTGTATCTTAAATGTGTTGCTAGAAATATGACCTCAGACTTATGTGTAAAATTGTGATTTTTGAAACAATTTAGGTCTGAGTAGTAATGTCTTTTCTGTATATTTAAACAAGAGAATAGTGATTATAATAGCACAACATTTGCATAAAAATTGTAAAAATTAATAATAAATGAGCTAATATCTTGTGTTCTTTCTTGTGTTTGTGGATGTGATTAGTAGAGTAGAGAGTAAAGCTTTAATGTCCCCACAGAGGTAATTTGGCTTCCAGACAGAAGTCAGTATAATGGTAAGAAAATACAGCAATTAAAACTGACAATAGCATACATACAGTACATACAACACACCATGCTGTCATTAATTACTTGTCACCAACAAGGGCAAAGCATATACAGTATCTTAAAACCCTAAAAACCAGGAAAAGCCAATCCCTACCATCACAGTCACTCTCAGAGGCACATTTACTTTACTTGAGTTCTATTTTTTTATTACTTTATACTTTTACTCCACTATGTATTACATAGATAAATCTAAGAGATATATATTTTACTCAACAACAGACAGCTATAGCCTACTAGTCATTTTTCAAATTAATTTCTGACCTCCTGCAAAACAAATAAATGTCCAGTTGGCACCCTTTGTTTCTTCTTTCCTCTCCATATAATCCTCTCACATGCCCTCAGATTTATCTGTGATGGTTTATTTTACCAGTCCTTGGAAGACTGAGCCAAACCTTTTTGAGAAAAGAATTATGTGCATCTGGCGCCATCTAGTGGATAGCAATTACACTACATGCTGTTCAGTATTACGTAGTCTTGTCATGTATAAATGGCCTTGAACATATCTTCCAGAGTCACTGCGTTAACTCTCCGACTCAGGTCTAATCCGGTCACCTTTGGCACATTAAGCTCCAGTTGCAGGTTGAAGGTGGAACACGACCGACAGAACCAGCGTTTCACCGTGACTCCCTCCAGCTTGGCTAGTAAGCACACACACACACGAGGCTGACGCTCCGGTGACTGTGGTCCGCTGGCGGCCTGCTGACACCGGCCGAAACAAGTCTGTGAGCGACTGATTAAAGCCCACAGAGAACATACAGTTGCTGTTCTGATCCAGCTGTGTATTTGGATCCTAAGCACATACTGGCGGTCGCCGAAGTCAGAGAAGGTTCAGCCAAACTCCACTGAAAAATCTTTGCAATTAATCTGCCTTCACCAAAAATCAGTCACCGCACCACCGATATCCATTACTGCATTTTGTACGATTTGTGCTTCTCTGTTCAACAGTTTGGCATACATAGTATCAGCAGAGTAACACGTTTTAGCAGCCTATATCTTGGTTTTAGCTAGTTGACCATAGCAGGCAAGTGGGGAGTCGCCTAAAAATATTCTGGGGGGAGTTTAGTAATGCTTGATCATCTGGTTGTCCTGTATGGTCATAGACGTCTTCATTTGGAAACAGCTGGAATGAAAGGAAGAATGTTTACTAGCTTGCTGTACTTATATTTTGAGGTATATAGTCTTGTCCTTGCAAACTAAAGATGCGGTAGGTTTCCTCATCAAAAATATGGGCTAATGTCCTCCAATAAATACTGTTGGTTTTACATATTTAATTTGCTCATCGTCACAAGGTAAATCTGGGAGTCATGAGATGATACTTGGGAAGAAGGGAGGAAAGAAGAAAAACACAACTACATTCATTTTTGGACTCCTCTCTTATTTGTAAAGTACTGTATTGGATAAATGTACTTAATTACATTCCACCACTGCCTCCAGATGCTTCCCATCTGTAAAATACCACAGTGTTACACTGTATGACCTTTGGGACACCACTATTTTGACATTTTTTAAGTTGTCTGTGTCCTGTGTCCACAGGGGCCCAAGAGCGTGCTGTGCTGCAGTACAGATTCATCAGCGAGAAGGAGGTGGATCTGATGTCAACCTATGTGCCAGAGACATTTAGGAGCCAAGGTGTTGCTGCACTGCTGTCACAGGTCAGAGCATCAGGTGGTTTTGAAAAAGCTGTAGTGTGAAGTCATACTTGTTGTTGTTTTTAATTTAGTGTTCCTTTTACAGGCTGCCATGGACTTCCTGGTTGAAGAAAACCTTAAGGCTCATGTCTCCTGTTGGTATATAAAGAAATACATTGAGGACCACCCACGCCAGCATTATAAAGATCTGGTCATCACTTGACTCTATAGCTTATTTGTCCACTACAACCTGAATTGCTACCTCAAATCAGCCACAACCTTACTGTGCAACACATGTTGGAGGCCAAAGGAGGATGTAAACTCGATCTGGAATCTATAGCATCTAAAATTCATGGTTCTAAATAATGATTTGCGTTATTTGTCTGGATGTTGCTGTTGTAGAAATGACGGATCAAAGCCATTTCACATTAATTCATATTATTTTAACCCTTGTGTTCTGTTAAGGATCTTAAAGGGACATAACTTGATGCAGAGTAATTTAGGGTTTAGGGTAGATTTAGGGTTTGAAGATGAAGTAGCAACTTGATAATGACTGTACAGATTTGATGCTTGTGTTTTATATTTTGTCTGTAATGTGTTGGTTATATTTTCTCACAAAATAGTAACAATGATTAATTATTAAATTCTGAAACAAGGTATTGAAATATTTGTCAAAGCATAATTTTTGGATGTCTGTGCAGATTCTCAGTCTGATGAAGCCTCTTGGATGAGAGGTGAAACGTCTTCGATCTAGAAATCCAAGTCCAGTTGATTTTTCTAAGGTTATTTCATAATTTTTGGATATTGATGATATCTATTTGTTGTGAATGCAACACAATCATTTCTTCTCTGAATATGTTGGCATTATCATTCGTTGCTTGGTTTGTTTAGGATGTGATCACAGCAGTTTCTGGTTTCAACTTAATGATTGAGTTGAAACCCAGGAGATTCCTCTGAAAGATCTAACAGGCATTTCAGCTATGATCTCAACACGAGCCTAGGATCTAAATTGAAATCGGCATAACAAGCAGAGTATATCTTGGATTTTTGCCACCTAATGAGATTACTTCTCCCACCACAGCAGCTTGGTCGTCTGCAGGCCAGAGAGCTGAACGGTGCTTTCAGGAAGAATCAAATCATAGGTTGTACCAGATGTGACACTCAAGTGACTGGGCTGCTGGGCTAAACACTAATAGTCTCTTTTTCGCAGTTGAGAGCCATGTTTTGAGGGGCATACCATTCAGTTAAAAGCACACATTTTATTTTGCATCCTCATTACATTTCCAGTGACAGGTATGATCAGATGATACAGAAATGCAGTTCTGTGTTGTGCCCCAAATATGAAAATGTCCACAATTTGTGTATTATACTGTATATTTCTGTCCCAATAGATGTCAGTATTACTCCATTACAGGCATTTCCCTTCACTCTTGTTATGGTCCTAGTACTGTCAAGGTTTGGTTTATACCTCAAAAAAAAAGATGAACAGCTGTTGAATCAATCAGAACCCAAGTCAGAAAGCATCATCTTGTCGATAGAGTTGTGTCTATCAAAGGCTGCAGCTGTTTTCAGAAAAGTTGAGACATAACGAGCAAATTGCTGATTTAAAATTGAATACAAAGAGAATATTTTTTTAAACAATCAGTGACAAAATTAAAGCAAAATGGTGAAATGAATCCAAATGGTGCATCAGAGGAGTCCTAACACTGGCCATCCAATGTATGCATAACATTTTTTTAACATATCATACCGTATGAGCATCATCAAATGTTTGAAAACAGCTTTTAATGGCATATTTGCAGACCTGCTTACATAGGCATATACTGTGAATTTGCTTGCCAAGCAGTGATAATCAATACAGCAACAAGTGCTGGCTGACCTTCTGTGCCCCATACGAGCTGTAAGATGAAATACTAACACCCACTGTCTGTTCCTGAATAACAGTCAGGACTATAATACTCAGTGTTGGTTCTAGACACATGTGAGATGTACTTTTTGTTGACAAGCGGCACAATCTCTCAAGTGTTATGATACAGTATATATGGGCAGATTGAGTCAAGAAGCCACTGGGAAATGTAGTCATTTAGTAACTTAATGTCTTTCTGTATTTTTGTGTGTTTCACTTTTCTCCCTGTTGTAGTTTTGTGTCTCTTTGGGGTTGTTTTGTGTCTCAGATAATTCTATGGTTGTTTTGTATCATTTTGTATCTGTATGTTCATTTCGTGTCTCTGTGGTTGTTTTGCATCTGTTTGTGGTAGTTTCCGTGTATCTTTTTAGTTGTTTGTGTCTTTCTGTGGCCGTTTGTCTCTTTGTAACTGTTTTTGTTTAGATGGTTGTTTTGCATCTCTTTATGCTTCTTTTCTCTTTCTTGTAGATGTTTTGCATTTTCTTGTAGTCATTGTGTGACTGTATTGCAACTCTTTTGTTTTCTCTCTCTTTGTATTGTTTATGCCTCCATTTGGGGTCATTTTGCAAGTCTTTCTAGTTGTTTTGCCTTTTTTGCATTTTATATTTCTTTTCTTTGTAGTCATTTGACCTACTCTCTAACAAAAACAGTCACTTCAAATAGAGGTACCCAGTAGGTCTGGTCAGTATTCTGTCAGTGATGGTGGAGCATATTGATGTTCTCAGTGAGACCATTATCAGGCTCAGTCCCAATCATTATCCTTATCCTGAGTGGTGACCAAGCCTTGTTCCTGAGAGCAACAATTGAGTAAAAATTAGATGGAAAAAAAAAAAACCCAAACAAACCAGAAAAGCCAAATCTGTAAAGGATCTCCAAAGTTATACCAGATATAAAGGGTCTGCTCTGCAGCAATAACCTCCACATCCTGCAGCTTGCCAGAGTTTAATGTGAAGATGTTAAAATTGTAGCTCTCTTTTCTTCATCCTACAAATAACATCACATGGAAAGATTTGAATCAATGCATGTTGTTCCTAAGCTGACCATATGTGGCTTCACAGACACATGGTGTATATGATGTGTATCAAGGAATGAATCCAGGAACAAGAGTCAATCTAGGTCCAGGAAATCAGCCCCTAAAAGTGTTCCAGTGGGGCAAAGGGGCCAGGATAGTGACTCCATTTTTAGCACTATGCCTCTCCTTGCTGTTCTGGCACACTGTCCATTTCGACCACGCACATTGTGCCTGTGGACGGTTTGTGGCCGTTGACCGGCGGTTCTAGCGGCGCTTCAATGTCACCAGGCACAGCAGTCAGGTACATATCCCACATCTGCTCGGGGAGGTCCAGCTCTATCATCTTCTGCTTGATCATCAGGCTTTTCTCGATATTCCGCCGCTTGTACTTAAACTCCATGATTGTCTTTGTGTATCTGTTGAGTGCTGTCACCGCAGAGCCCATGCAAGTGCCAAAAGAGCCCCATGCTAAACTGAAAAGAGACTTGATGACAGTTAGACTGCTGGAAATATATGAACTCTTACCAAAGAACAAGGAGGTGTCTTTTCTGCCAATGGTGGAAAAAGTATTCAGATTCTTTGCTCAACTTTAAGTGTTAAAGTAAAAGTTTCATCTCTGTGACTGATACTATCATTATTAGACTGTTAAACCATCAGCAGCATTTTACTGACGAAGCTGCTTGAGATGGAGCTGGTTTTAACAAAGTCCTGGGGTTGTGTTCGCACTGCATTATAGAAAGTAGTGAGGGTCTAACTTTAGCTAGAGTTAGCTGTCTCTCTTTCCAGTTGGGATCATGGTAAATAACCAGACAGTGAATGTTCACAGCAGCAGGCAGACCTGTATCCTCAGCATGGAGTGTTCAAATCAGATATGGAACTAACAGCAAACAAACAACAACGGCCAGCGATGAACTGTTTTCAAGCCCCCCGCATAACAATGATGCATGGTTCTTTAACTTGGCAGAAAAAGAAATAAAACACAAACTTCTTCTCTTTTGTAATGTCAAATGACCAAGTAAGTACACAAAGTCAAAACAAACACTAAGGATGTACAGTATATACTGAGAAATTTCAATTTCAGTTCAACTTTAAACTAACCAGCTACTGTAATGATGATTTTTCAGTAGCTGTAAAAGGTGCTTACATATAAGACCAGCTGTAGTCCCATGTCTTGGGTCTCCAGTCTTCTGGTCCCATAGCCACAGCCAGCTGGAATATGGTGGTAAACATCATGTGGGCCACCATCCCACAAAGGCCTGAGAAGAAATCCACGTATATGATGCAATAAACTCTACAAACCAAATTTTTGCATTACACATGAAAAGGGCCCTAATTTCTGTAGTCTTGTTTTCATTCTTTCTCATCACAAAAGATGACTCACAAGAGACACATTACATACAAACCTAATAACAAGCATAGCATTATATTACAGTTCATGAGAAGTGGTATCAAGCTTAACTTGACATGTTAACTGAGCACTCATTCACATTAATAATTTTGGAAAAGGTTCTGAAGGTGCTCATTAAAAGAGCAACTCCACTCTACAAAGTATTGTGTTTTCCACAGTACAGTACAGTAGTAGTACAACGCTTCACATGATGGGAACAACAGACCACACTGATCTATGATGAAGATGAGCATGCAGGTCATACACATTGTCAGTGACTGATGGCTACTGAACAGCGACGTTTTGCAAACATGGTTGTAAACATGTTCCTATATGACTGGAAATGTTTTAAGAGGACAAAAATTCTCTCTTCTTTTTAGGCCTCAGTAATACACTAACACTGTGTAAGCATAATTGTGTTTGTTTATAGCAAAATTCCAAAGAATATTAAGCCTGTATTCACTGACTTTTTAGATACTGGGTGCAGCACAACAAACTGCAAACACAACTCTGACATAGTATGACCATATACAGTTATGGATAGGTTTCCAAATAGTTGATTATTTATACATAGCTGTCAGACACAAAGCAGAACAAAATAATCATTCACAGCCATGATTCTGCCCACCTGATGAATGCAAGTCCAATGTTCAGCCTCTTTTAGCTCTGTTTTTGTACAGTCTATGATCTCTACCAGCTCCTGAGGGAAATATCTGTCTCTTCAGCTGCTAAATGCTCTACTGTGTTCACCGACTGTGTTTGTCTGCTGTTTGGTGCTGAATGGATAGTGGGTTTTTACAGCCTTTTTGTTAGAAACAACCAGTAGAAGACAGTGCAGTGAGAGTGGTTGGACCGAAACAAAAACAATAAGGTTATGGTGTGGACATCCTGGCTCTCTCTCATCCAGTAGTTTCCACAGATGCTTTTCTTGGGATTAACTCGTAGCAACCGGGGGGGATGGGAGTCAGGGGATGGGGTAGTAAACAGGATGGGAGGTAGTTCCTCTGGGCTGGTCTTGGCATGGCCCAGGTTCCAATCCGATTAGTCCGCAAACCAGCAAATCCTCCGAGGCAGTGAGTAGACGCAGCACAGCTGGCTGCTCTGCATGCTCACTGGTGCACAGGCATGACCTGCTGCCCAGCTCCTGCTTTTACTCATTTTGAGCAAAGATGTCATCATGTAAAATATATTTTAGACAAAAATGACTATTTCAGAATAAAAGGTGACTATAAATAGAATCAAAAATGGGGCTGGATTTCATGAAAGTCTGAAGGATTATAACTTTAAAACAGCTATATTCAAATCTTTTTTTTTTATAACAGCAACATATCATATGACAATGTGATGAAAATGTGTGAAAGGGGGCTCTCATACTGATGAACCTACAGAGAATCAGTGGAATCTGTAGCTCTCCTCAACTTTATGATGAGTTTCAGCTCATTGTTCAGCCGTTCGACCCAAAGCTCGGTCTCAGTTCCCTGTCACTGCTCTTGTAGGATTTTTTTCAGCAAGCAGCTGTTTTCAGAGGAAAACCTCTAAAATCTGTGCACTCTCTGCTGTGCACAGCAGACAGATACAGTTACAGTAAGAACGAGCTAGTAGAGCATTTAGCAGGTAAAGAATCAGATATTTCCCACATCAATTGTTTGTGACCAAACACAGAGCTACAGGAGAGTGAGTATTGGACTTACATTCATTGGGTGCACACAAACATGAATCCAAATGAATAAAAATCTTAAATAACTGCTAGATGTGAAAATAAGCAATTGTTTGCGGACAGGTTTGCCATATCAACTTAACAGGTGATGGATGTGACAGGTGAAAAATGACATGTCTTCTGCTGCCCCCAGGTGGCCAAAAAATCAGTTATTGTGCATTTAAAGATACAGTAGATCTAACACTTAATGGTGGTAACTTCATATTCAAGTTGGATGACTGAGAATTTGTTGGACATATCACACTGTATCGTCGCTCTCACCTTGTTTCATGACACAGTGATGGATTAAAAGAGTGACAGTTTTACCTGACAAGGCGGTGCACAAGGCAGCGAAGGCACTGAGCTTCAGTTTGTTCATGATACTAAAGCAGGGACACTGCTCCACAGTCATCAGAGCCCCGCCTGTGAAGAGCAGGGTGAGGTACAGACTCTCGGCCACGATACACAGCCACAGGACCCCTGGGAATATGGAACACAGAGGCAGATGTGAAGACAAAACTGAGTTGTGTTGTCTACATAATACTCTGTTCTTGATCAATCTTAATAATAATAATAATAATAATCCAATATGTGTGAAGACACTCATACATGTGGGCTCTAAAGAACCCATCTGGACCGGATGGATTTTTAAAATCAGGATATCAATCTGGCCTCACAGCAACTCCTAATTCAAGTTGTTCATATAGTAACATGCAAGGCTTGGAAAGATGAGTTCTTCCTGGACAAGTACAGGTTATTCTTTGTGAGTATTTTTAGAGATATGCATTCAACTTACTTTAGAATTTTCATCTTCAGCCAGTCACAGTAGAGGAGGAAGTACTCAAATCTGTTACTTTATTGCTGTACTTTAATACAACTAAAAATGGAAAATGGAATAACACTAAACTTACAATATTTCCCTATGAAATGCAGTGGAATATTAGGAGCAAGTCAAATGAGTACAAATACCTCAGCATTGTTCTCAAGAACATTACATGCTTAAATGTACTTAGTTACTTTCTAGTACTAGCCAATCATTTAATATTATGCCAAAATAACAGTTGGAGTCGAGGTAAAGTTGGAACATAGGCAGTCATGTTAGTGTTGTAACTTGTTAATAAAATGACTTGTGTTCATGAATGCATCACTCAGTGTGGCTTAGCCTACATTAAACCTTACCCAAACAACATCAGCTCATCAGCATTTTATATGTATATGTCACCATTTTACCAACCTCTTTCGTGTTCTGGAGCAATCTCTGAGAAGTCTCTACAATCAAACCCTAAAATCACAAGATAAAAGCACAGTGAGATAATGTTATTGTTTTGCAATGCTTTTGCTGGGATAAATGATGTATAATTTGATACTAATTATAGAGGAAATAGCCATTTGCTTGAAAATTTTAATCCAGTCAATTAATTATTCATTTATTATTTAAACTCTGTGTTTCTTAGCAATGGCCCTAGTAGTCAATAGGTCATACTAACTTTTCTCTTCTGAGGGCAAATATGTTCTGACTCACAGTAGCTTTGGTAGCAATGTTAAATGAAATCTTGCAAAGTAAAAGTATGGATTACGCATTTGCCTTTTTTGCATGACAGTAACTACACTTCCTGAGATACACACAAACACATACTGTAAACATGCCCGGTTAAGTGCTGCAATAAATACCACAGAGCTTTATGGATGTTCTTAGCATCTGCTTTATTGTTAAGTGATTTTCTTAAGGGCACATCATTAGTCCAGGACAAACTCATCACTTCCTGTTTCTGGACACTCACAGTAGTTGACGCCTAGGGCATCAAGGTCAGTCACCTGTCTTACCATTCATGTCGGCAGCCTGTTCACAGGAGAAAAATATGCCTGTGTGGAACTTCTTCAAAAGAAACTTCTCCTCTCCAGTCTCAAAAATGTACTGCACCACCCGGCTGTCATTGACGTTGGAGCTGTTGAATCTGATGCAGAACCACTGCTTCGCCTTCAGTGGCGGTCCTGTGCAGAAGGGCTTGGCTACCTTCCTGGTACCCTCGCACCAGTAGCTGGTAGTCACCGCTGATAAGGCAAAAGCAAACGCCACAAAGTTGAGGGTGAGCGCCAGAGAAGCCCGCTGCCCGCGCTCTAGCCTCATGGTCGAGGCCAGGCTAGAGGAGATGAAATGAAAAGGCAACTAATCCTGGCTTTTGATATGTAGCCACCGTGTTCTGCCTCTCAGCAGATATATCAAATCTTCATAATCTCACTGCATTTGAGGCTCCTTGGGTGAACTTTCTGTGCATCCCTCCAGTGATGTGCCGCCACTTTGATTAAAGGATGCATTCTCTCCACTTCCACAGGAACAATAGAACCTCATGGCAGACTCTTTCACTCTTCACTGTCTGCAGCTCATCCAACCCCATTGCTCCTCCCCTCTTATAAATCTTTGCCTACAATATTATCCATTACAAATGGCAAATTATATTTCAGAATTCCTTTAAGTATATAAAAAAAAGATTACAATGAGATTGGAGATTATAATCCAGAGCAGACTCTTACTGTTTACATTTTTCTGCATTTCATGTCAAAGTATATCTCAAAGTATATGCAGCCTTATTCTAAATGCCTGTTTTACAGTTGGTGACATAATGTGTACAGTAAAATCCATGTGTGTGTTTGAGTGTGTGTGTGCATGCAGGGCAAATCTATTTGTGTTTACTAAGCCTGATGATCGCACAAATGAAGACAAATTACTTACAGAAGTCTATGTGGGTGATGACAGATGTTTGGAGAAAACATCTGGTGCCTTTACTCTGATACATTTGTCTTTTCCTCTCGATCATTTTCCATCACGCCAAAATTCTCATATAATTCTGCAGCTCAGACTTTCTGTGACAAACATGTCACCTTTGGTTTAAGATGCAATCTGCTGCAGGCAGGCTGTTGTCATTTTAAAAGCTGAAAAGGTGTGAAGAAATGCATAATTTCCACCAAGACTTAACAAAACAAACAAAACAAAAAAACAGCATAGTCTGGGCTATGGAGCAAGTGAATGAGCAGATAAATGATGTGGAGTCCCACAGGGGTCAGTTTTGGGTCCTAAACTTTTCATACTGTATATTAACGATATATGCAATGTTTCTGAATTATTGAACTTTGTACTATTTGCTGATGATACTACTATATGGGCCTCTGGGGAAGACCTACAGCAACTTTTGGGTTTGATTACTGTGGAATTGGACAAGGTGAAGAAATGGTGTGACAGGAATAAGTTATCACTAAATCTGGACAAAACAAAATTCATGCTGTTTGGATATGGAAGATTAAATCGTCAGATTCAAGTAAGGGTGGGGGATGCCAATATAGAAAGAGTTTACGAAACAAAATTTCTAGGCATAAATATTGATGATAAAATCTGTTGGAAACCTCATATTAAATATATACATAATAAATTGGCTAAAAGTATATCTATATTGGCAAGAGTTAAAAATATTGTGGATCAGAAGTCACTCCATACTCTTTACTGTTCTATGTTTGTACCTTATTTGGACTACTGTGTTGAGTGTTGGGGAAATACATACAAAAGCGCATTATGCTCTTTATTTAAACTACAGAAAAGGGCCATTAGAATTCTCAGTATTCATTCATTCATTCATTCATTCATCTATTCACTCTATTCCTGAGGCCACACAAACATTTAACTGGGAACTAATGTCAATCATTTTGTGTTCTGTAAAAAAAAGGCTTTTTGGCAAGGAGCTTTCAATTAAACATATACATTTACTGTGTGCTATATCTAAGAACATTAAGATTATTGAAGACAAGCTATGAAAGTCATAGTACATTTCTTTTTAATCGTGACAGCGTGTGAGTGGCCAAGATGCAGCCAACGCAGTTCCCCTGAATACAAAGAGATTATTTGGAACATTAGCTTCCATGTAATAAAAATGTAAACAGGGCGAATAAGTCCAGTGTTACACTTGATCAAATAGTAAGCCTGTTGTACAGTGAATGTTTCCTGGGTTCATCTCTTTTTACAAAATAAATACCTGTTGGGGATGGAGGACTCATTTTGAGTGAAAGCTGTAATATAATAGGGCTGCTGCAGATGTGAGATTTGAATGACTGCCCTGAGACATTCTCTGCATTTAATAACTAAACCTAAATGTTAGATGGTTATGTAAAAGTACATAATCATATTTTAATAGCTAAAGAATGACCCAGGGTTTCCTAATCTGATTTTATAAATGTAGTCATGAAGAGTTTCAGATGGATGCTTCCAGATTACGTTAACTGGGTGGAAAGGAAAGTAACGTATAGCATTACTGCACCTATAGAAAGATATCCCAAATAAATATGTGGGAACTGTCCTTTAACTTCATCACATGCATTGGTGCTACACTCTACAGTACTGAACGCTGCAGGATAACTATGAGCCATGCATCGCTTTATTTACCAGTGTGTCAGACTTAAGCAGCGGCCTATTGGTCCCTGATACATGAGAATCAGTGATAGATTACTGCACCTGAATGTTGTTACCAGTCAATATGTCTCACATACATCTTAAAATACACTGAGGATTCTTTTGTCCTGCCACCATTATCACCTTGAAAGATTAATGTGGGTATGGCTTACATTAGTTTAACAGCTAGCTGCAGCAATTGAGTCTGAGGTGGTGAGCTTGAAGTAGGTTGTATGTAAATGAACTAGAACCGAACAGAACTGAAACATTCAATTTAATCACTGAATGTAACCAGTACCAGTCAGTTGGTATTACTATTTCATTTAGGTGTAAGGTTGCACATTTTGTTGCTCAAATGTTATCCCACCATCAAATATTGGGCAGAAGATGGAGGATATCGGGTACTTTTTAATGGATATGTTGGCAATGTCTTATGCAATTACATTGTTCTGTAATTAAAAGAAATGTTTATCAAACTACCTATGATATATACATTTTATATTTTAATTTTGATCTCAGATTAATATTAGTAAAACACATGTAAAACATATGTTTACAGTAAATGACATGATAGAAGTACAATCTGCAAAGTCAGGAGTTCTCTGCGTTTGTATTTATGTGTGCATATGATAAAAGCATATTGGTTGTCTGACAAAAAAAAAAGTCCCTACCAGAGTTAAAAACAAACCTGGGCATTTATCATAAACAATCAGGATACTGCTATGTTTTACTTTATATAGCAGGAAAAGGATGTACTGTAATAAATTATGATCCAACATAAAAAAGATACAAATAATAATAGTCATAATGATAAAAGCAGTTTTAGTGATCCTGTGCTCCAGCCATAATATCTATTTCACACACATCTTCCTGTACACTGAGTATACAGCTGTCCTTTCACCTTTATCCTAAAGCATTAATGTGTTTTGAGGTTGGATAACCTCACTAGAATACACCTCTGTCAGAGCAGCACTGAAACTGGCTCACAGACAACTCTAACACAGCACAAATATGCATCCCAGTTCTTTAATTGCCTTCACTCGCTGCGGTTTTGGCATGAGTGCAGCAGAGGGTCTTGTAATCTGATTTGAGACTATTATTTGGAGACAGATAATCTCATCCTATTGTGAAGGAGCAGCTGTGCAGAGCTTCACATTAACACCCAGGGTACAACTGGCCCTCATCAGAGGCCATCACTGTTAGTGCTGACTAATGCCATGGTCTTGTTTTCAGATCAAGACCCATGATATTTACAACACACTGAGCAACAGATGTCGTCTTTTACAGGTGTGCTGCATCACTACTGTATATTACAGTAATAATTAGCAGTGAAGCTAAGATAACCAGCGATGAATACTACTACTAATAAAAACTCACTAGCATACATAACAGAGAGTTAAAAGCTTCAGTTGTTATTAAAGGATTAAAACTTATATTTAAATATCTTGGATAATGATGAGAAGCATTGTGAAGGCAAATACATGTGGATTTAAGTATAACATGATACTAGAATGAACAACCATGTGTATTTTCATGTAAATAAATTTTACAGCAAGTTACTGTGCCCAGGGATTGGAGGAGGTAATGATGCTACAAATGGCCTAAAAGGTCTCCCAGATGTTGACCTTTGAAGTGTTAGCAACCTGTTCTGCTTAATACTCTGATTATGCCAACAGTATTTAACTGTATCTTCAAAAAGGTGTGACGTGGTTATCCCCTTAATCTTCAAGACAGCTGTCTGGATTTAGGTAGTGTGGACCCATAATCCCTTGTGACACCTTGAGGGGCTGCCAAGGTGAAAACCAGACAGAGTGCTGCAGAGATTTTAACCCCAAACACAGCAGAGAGGACAGGGAGAGAAAAAGGGATACATTTCACTCTTGTGAGCAGAATGGGGAACACAAAGAGTAGTGCTTTATCAAAGGAGCTGCTTGAAGAACTGAAATCCAACACAAAATACACAGAGGCTGAGCTCTGCACATGGTACCAGTCCTTCCTGAAGGAGTGTCCTAGTGGAAAGATCAGCAAGCAGCAGTTTGAAGGCATCTACGCCAGCTTTTTTCCAGATGCAAATCCCACAGCATATGCACGACATGTATTCAGGAGTTTTGACACCAATGCAGATGGCACTTTGGACTTTAAGGAATACATTGTTGCCCTGCACCTCACCTCCGGGGGCAAGACTTTGCAGAAACTCGAGTGGGCCTTTGCCCTGTACGATGTGGATGGAAACGGGACCATCAGCAAAAATGAAATCCAAGAGATTGCCAGGGTACTCTAGCTATTTCACTGAAAAGTACGTAGATGCCTTTAGGTTACTTTGTGTGAATAATTTAAATAATGAAATTCAGTATGCACCCCT